ATTATAATAAACTAATTCATTTTTAGGTATTTTTCTAACTGCTTTGCAAATTTGCTGACTGGAAGTTTCTACCCTGATTTATCTTTTTGTTTCCATAATGTCGCAGACAGAAACAGAACAAACAACCATTATCGCACACACTCACACCTACGGAGAATTTAGAGAAGCCAATAAACTTAAAAGTAAAGGTATTTGGACTGTGGGAGGAAGCCGGAGTACCCGGAGAGAACCTATGCATGCTCAGGGAGAACATGCAAACTCCATGCAGAAAGACCCGGGGCCGGGAATCGAACCCAGACCTTCTTGCTGCAAGGCAGCAGTGCTACATAATACATATTCTCACAGCCCATCTATTAATTTATTTTGCAAACACAATTAATATTCAATTTAACTGATTTTGGAATCCCCCCAGCATGATACCACCATCACCATGTTTCCCCTTGGACATGGTATATTTATCTCTGATTTTGGTCTTATCTGGGCAGACCACTCTCTCCCACATTTGTTGTGTCCTTTGACCGGAAAATGGGGTCAAATTGTTTAATGCAGAATATTTTATCCCGCTTTGAGCTGTGGATCTCCACTAGTCCCCTGAGTTTGTCCCCTCTGATTAAACATGTTTTTGAGCAGACAGTCAGTTTAGGTGGACCTTCATGTCTCCAGCAGTTGGTCCATCCTCTCTCCATGTTATAAGGATGGTCTGAACAGAGCTCTGGGAGATGTTTAAAGCGTGGGATATTCTTTTAGAGCCCGACCGCTTTAAACCTTCCCAGACTTTCCTCTTTGACTCGGCTGTTGGGTCCCTTGGTCCTCATGAAGCGGTTAGTTCCCTAATGTGGAGATTAGTTCCCTAATGTGGAGATTTTACATCAGTGTGTGTTTTTTATTTATTTATATATATATATATATATATATATATATATATATATATATATATATATATATATATATATATATATATATATATATATAAACTGTTATATATATATATATATATATATATATATATATATATATATATATATATATATATATATATTAGTGCTGTCAATCGATTACATTTTTTTAATCGCGATTAATCGCATCACTGCCTGAGTTAACTCGCGATTAATCGCATTTTAATCGCACATTTTTTTTCTGATTGAAAATCATTTAAATACTCTCGATGACATACAAAAAATACATACAGGCTAGGTTTGTGCCAATGTTCTTTTTTTAAAATGAAAACAGGTCACAGATACTGATTTATGCCATAGAAACATATGGCAAGAAGATGGGGAGGCATGTAGCAAAAAATAACAAATATGTAGCCAAAAAAAAGGCCCTGAAAACAGGCTGATGTAAAAGACAGTCTTTACAGTTAATACAGTCTTTTGAACAAAGACAAGCATTTTACCCTACTGCTATAAAATGTAGTAGAGTTAACATTAGATGTTAATTAACCAAGGTAATAATGAACAATTTTCAATCAATACATCAAAATCAATAGACCGACATCACTAGATCGAGGTAGTCTATGCCCTAGAAAGTTACTTTTCAGCCTCTTAACAAAAATGAGAACACACACACAAGCAACCAACCAACCACCCACACACACACACACACGCGATACTGACCTGTGGCGTACACAGACAGCAAGAGTGCCGTAGCAGATTCCATTTCACCTCAGTAATCTGTTTTCTCAGCGTATTTCAGGTTGCTACTAGTTACCAGACACCAGTGGCACGGGAAGGGGGGTGCTGCGGGGGCTGCAGCCTCCCTCGTCATAGCATCAGCCCCCCATGGTGGGGGGCTGTGGAGTAACATAATATTGTACTTAAAAACATGAAATTATTTATGTATTTATTTTTTAAAAGACTTTGTTTCATGTGGGATTAAAATGATGGGCTGTGTATAAGATATAAACTAATGATTCATTATTTTAATATTTCATAAAAAACTAGGCTACTCCCCCAGAAGCTTCCGCCACCTCACATTCGTTTAGGCATGGCTAGCAATAGGCAGCAGAAACGTATTTCTGACTATTTCGAGGTAAGAAATGGTTTTAATTCCCCTATACTGCCGCATTTAGCGTTATTTATGTGCCTATTCATCTAAGTCATGTGGCTGAAGAAGTCTACGCTAGAATAAGGCTGCATATCACTAAATTTTATGTCTGTATTAAGCTATTAATGATAAAATATGAAATTAGTTTTTTTTTTTTTGTGTTTTATTTTTGTTTCAGATATGAAATCATTCCCCATATCCAAAGTCGAATGGACTTTCAAGACGTTCAATGCTCAGTTTAGGCTATATTTAGGCCATGTTTTATTCAAGTATTCCTGATCCTGTTGATTGGGAGCTGTTGTTTGTTTTGAATGATTAAAAGAGAAGAAATAAAGTTTAAAATGTTCATGCTTTGTTCCGATGCATTTTAAATGGCAGTTTTTGGCGACAAATGTAGGCCTACAATATTATGTCAAAAACGTCAGCCACAGCCCTCAACATAATGACGTCATGTGTTTTCCAACCCAGCCATCAGCCTCCCTCGCTTGAAACAGCTTCCAGCGCGCCTGCCAGACACTCAACTTGTTTGTTGGTGGTGGGGCTTAAAGAAAAGGCACCAGCGCCACCCAGTGTATGAGCGTCTTTTTTCCTTGAGGAGGTCCGCTCTCGAAGCCTATGAGAAATGCATAGACTGGGGGAAAATAGCCCCGCCTTCCCGCAGGCTGCAGCGGGATGTACTTGGAAAATTTTACCATAAAACCACATAGCGTTAATCTCACGTTAAAAAAATTATCGCCGTTAAAATGGCCTCGCGTTAACGCGATAATAACGCGATAATTTTGACAGCACTAATATATATATATATATATATATATATATATTGACTTTATTGATCTCACAGTGGAGAAATTCACTTGTTACATCCAGGGGTGGCGCTAGATGGGGGCCAGGGGTGGCCATGGCCACCCTTAGCTAATCATTGGCCACCCCTACAATTTTTCCCTCTCATACAGATGGTGGCAATAGTAATAATCTCAACTTGAATATTCAAAACATTTTTTTTTGGTTAATTATACACATCAATATACTAACATCAAAGATGATAAATACACAATGCATCCTCTTCAGAACTAGATTTTGTGTTTTATGGGGTAAAGAGAAAATTATGTGTCTGCAAGTCATCTAGGAGTCCTCAGTGAAATCAAAGATAAATAACAATTTTAATAAAAAACTTAAAAACATCAACTTCAATCAAAAAAAATCAAATAATCAATTTATATAGATATTAGTGCTTCTAAATATTAGTTTTATGCAGAAAGTTTATTGATTCAAGTAGGTAAGTAATGACAATGATTATTGATTTACGTCCCAGAACTCAAAACTGAGTTTTATCCACTATACCTTTTATCTAGAATAGGGCTTGGTCGTCATGACGTAAGCACTTTGCGTCGCCGCCATGTTGAATGCGTCTTTTACCGCGGCTCAGACTACTGCCTATGACTACCACATACTGTACTCCCTCTCAGCCGTGTTTTAATTTGATTAATTTCACCTTAACTTGATTTCAACCATGGTAAACCGTTGCTGTATTGTGGGCTGTAACAGTGCAACACATGATCGCCATGGAAACAACATAGAAAATGGGTTAACTTTCCACCACTTTCCTGCCTGGAGGCGTAACCATGGAGACCAAGCGTCAGAGATAAAGAGTCGTCGGCTAGCTTGGATCACGGCTGTAAGACGACCGAACATAACTTTCCACAGTATTCCAATGTCATTGAGAGTGTGTTCCCTGCATTTCCATTCTGCTAAGTTAAAGATGCACGGTTTTATTTTATAGCCTACATTGTTTCTTTCCTTCAAAGTTGGGATCTTTTACGGGAAAATAATAAAAACGGCAGCGGGAAAAGGCTGAAATACGTGAGAAACCCGGAGGGTTGGCAGTTAACGTTACTAACTACACCTTTGAAACACATAGCAGCTAGTTAAAAGTACATTACATGCGTGAGTGGTTGTTAGAATTAGCGGTTAGCGGTTGCTAAACTAGCAGGTTCCAGAGCCCGTCTGATCACAGCTTACCTTCGTACGGATTACTGTGTTCCCACTGTTTGCTGGCTTTATGATCTGCAGCTCCTGAACCCATCCATTCATGAACTGCACATGAGACTCCAAGGACTTGTAGCTTGGGAACTGTTTTGAAGTATAGGCGCTCACTCATCGGAGCTCCACTCATTGTTTGGAACTTTATATGGATCCAAATTATTAATAATGCTGATTTTGTCACCATACCGGTCCCTGGCTTCTCTATTTAATGTGTCCCGGTAAATTCCAGATCCTTTTCGGGATTTTAACATCTTTTTTCTCTCTACTTCTACGTCTCTTCTTTCAACAACAACGTTGTATCAGAGCTATGTTTACGTTTGCGTAGCCGTCAATATGACCGCGACGTCCCACAATGCAACGTGGATCCCGAGCCCTATTACGAGTGTTTAAATATATGCATCTATTTGTTAGCAAAGGCTGTAGTTAGTCTTTATTTAGAAAATATGGATGTTTCGCTTGTTAATGTTCCTGTTGGAACAGTGTAGATTGACTGTGAAGTTCTGGTGCCTATCTAGTTCCGGCCACCCTTACTCAAAATTTCTGGCTACGCCTCTGGTAACATCAGCTCAAATAGTGGAAGAAGTAGAATGTGCCAAAGGAAGAAAAAGGTGCATGGGATATACAGTATATAGTATATAAAGTGCGTCCATATTAAAGCTTTTTTCAGTGTTTTTTTTAAGTTATGGAAAAAAGCAGGAGGTCTGAAGACTAGAAGAAGTTGTCGGTCCCGTAGTTTTTGGGTATTGGGTTCCTTCAGAAACTCAAGATCCAGTTCGCTCTGACTGATTAAGTGTCGTCTAGAAAACCAACAGGGGGCGTCTCCGCTCCCTCCCTCCCTCCGCTGACCCGTTCCAAGGTGGAGGAGGTATCGGGGATCTCCTCCTAAACAACAAACCCACATTCACAGCGGGGCGCGTGGATGACATCACGCTGCGTGCTGAGGATAAAACGGAGGCGGCGGCTTTGGCGCAGCGCTTTTCTGAACAGGAGCTCAGCGAATCAGGATGCCGGAGCGCAGGGACACCGCTGATCGTTGCCACGCTGTTCATCGCTAAAACCGGCTTCCACTGATGTTCTCCCGCTGAGAAGGAGTTTCATGATGGGGCAGTAAAGTGTGAGGGATTTTGGACACGCAGTTCTTTGGATACAGCCGGCGCGTAAAGGTGCTCCGCCGTCTCCTGCAGTTTGACATGGATCAGTCTCAGCAGTGCGCAGCCGTGTGTCTGTTGATGCTGTCTCTTGGACTCCTGGTGGACAAAGCGATCTGTCAGCACTTCCTTCTTCTTCGCCCCATCCCCAGTGACAGTCTGCCGGTGGTGGATTTAAAAGAGGACCCGGATCCGGTCTTTGACCCCAAGGAGCGGGACCTGAATGAGACCGAGCTCAGGAGCATGCTGGGGGGCTTTGACAGCCGCTTGCTGTCCGTGTTGCTCCCCGTGGAGGACAAACACCCGGGATCCGACGAGTATGATCACTACGACATCCTGAAGGCGGGCGGAGTTCTGCCCAAGGAGATCCGGGCGGTGGACTTCGATGTGCAGATCGGCAAGAAGCACAAGCCGAGCAAGAAACTGAAGCGGCGGCTGCAGCAGTGGCTGTGGGCTTACACGTTCTGCCCGGTGGTCTACAAATGGACCGACCTGGGCAGCAGGTTCTGGCCCCGGTACGTCCGGGTTGGCGGCTGCGTGAGTAAAAGGTCCTGTTCGGTTCCGGAGGGGATGGTCTGTAGACCCGCGAACTCGACCCACCTGACGGTGCTGAGGTGGAGGTGTTTGCAGAGGAAAAGCGGGTTGAAATGCGCCTGGATCCCGGTGCAGTACCCGGTCATCACAGACTGCAAATGCTCCTGCTCCAGTTAAAAAGGACGCTGTGAACTCTGAATGATAAGCTCAGCTCAATTCATCCTCCTCTTTATTTCCCCACCTGCACTACAGAGTGTAAGAATGTATTCCTGTACATGTGTGGCCATGCATCTTTTAACATCCTGTACAAAATCAGTATTATTTGTAATCAGAGTCTACTTTATTTGTGCAAAATAATGTTTTTTTATATATATATATTTTGTATTTATGGAGAAGTGGCGCAGAGCCACGCGTGGACTTTCTGTTGGATGAAGCAGATCAAGCAGAGTTGAACTATGATTATTGATACACGCATCAGCGACTCGTTTTATTCTGTAAATTTGGGAAATGTACTATTTATTCTTTATATTCGTACAATAAATCTACACTGATATGATTAAAAAACTGCCTTTTTATTTATTTTTCATTCAGACTGATGGAAATCAGCTGTGCGCACATATTTACGCACGCATTTTACGCAGCGCTGATGGTCTTTCTGCTGTAACACAAAAGCAGACATAAATGGTTAAAATACAAGTATTCCATGTGTTTTAATTAGGCTTTAAGTGTTTTATCATTCTACCTGTTTAAAGTCTTTTATGAGCTGCGATTCATGCAGTTATTGAATGAAACAGGCACCTTCCCGGCTGAAGCAGGAGCCTTTCTGAGGTCTCTGCGTAGATCTTCCCATTGGAGCCAAAAAAGGAGCTTCTTCTCTGACAGGAAGAAACAAAATGAACCTAAGATGGAAATTAATACTGGATCTGTAGGCATTAAATAGAAATGTTATGCAAACCGAGAAAAACAGACACACATAACTTAATTTACTCTTGACCTTTGACCATATTTTGCTTTAATGTATTCTGTGTCCTTATAATTTTTATACAAGTGGCATAAAATATCTATAATAAAAGCTGAATGTGGTTAAACAGCTCAGATTCAGGGTCCTGGTGTAGTATTCATTCTAAAATCCCAAAAGTTGACCTTTTGAATATGGCAACCGGTTTCCTTGACAAATGTAAGCAGATATTGCTGGTGAAGAATCTCAGCCTTCCAGGTCATAGTCATTCCAACAAAAGTTTTTTTAAAAATCCACTAGACTGTTTCCAAGTTTTAAGACATTTTGCTTTTGGTCTACTCTGAAAAGCCTGGAACTCAATGATTGTTTTTTTAACTTTATGTGATATAAGCAGATATTTCTGATAGTTTTATGCTTTGTTAACTTATCGTTCATTGAACTGAACACTTTGTTGTATGAACTTATTTTTATGAAGTTAAATTTGGTGAAATTATTGCAGTCTTGAAAAAGAAGTTAAGAAATCAAATATCAAAGAGTTTCTCTTTTTCGTTACAAAGATGCTCTTATTTTTGTTTTTTGTAAACAATACAAAGCATAAGAAAATTAATAAATTTCATAAACTTTGTGTTAAACAGTTTTTTATTGAGGAATCATACATTAAAATTGAGACATCAACAATACACATTTGTCCTCTTTTTTTTATGTGAACAAAAAGCATAAGGACAATACAAAATCAAAACCAAACGAAAGAAACATAATTAAACAAGAACATTCTCTATGATAAAGGCATAAGATAATAGTTGTCGTTAGTATTTACTAAGTTGAGAAAACTGAACAGAAACTCCGAGCACAATCCAGCCTCAGCTCTATTCAAAGCATATCTGATAAGGTTTTGACCAAAATGGGGTTAATTTTGTACACAAACAGTAAGAATGAAGAAGCGTGGCTTCTTCAATATGGCATTTGTCACACAGTGGGGATGTATTAGGGAAACTTTTATGTAACTTCACCTTGCAGTAATGAAGCCTGTGCATGATTTTAAATTGAATAAGACAATGTCTAGAGTTGGCAGAACACTTGTGAATATTTTCTAGTGCAGCCTTCCAGAGTTCGTCACTTATCACCATTCCTAATTCCTGCTCCCAGCCTGTTCTAAGGCCCTGCATGGACGGCGAGCATCTGGATAGTAACAGGTTATAAATCTGGGATATTAGATGTCCTTCTCCACCACCCAGATTGAAGAGTTTGTCAAATTCGTTAGGTAGTATATTCTCTAGAGTGCGCATGTGTTTTTTGACATATGCCCTGACCTGCAGGTATCTAAAATGATTGTGTTTATGGATATACATTTCATAAAGTTTAACCTAAAACAAAAACCTTAACCTGAGTAATATAGCCTACAGGTATCAGTAGTTTTAATTCAGATATAAGTTATAGACTCTTCTCATTGGGATCCTTGAATAGATGCTGTTAACCTCCCTTATAGTGCTGTGTGGCCACACCCATTGCCAAACAAGTCAGCCAATGACGTCACACTAATCTGCACGTCTTAAACACTTTCAAATAGTCAACTAAAATATTTTGAGTTATCAACAATATTTTATGCAACAGTTTCTCTACATACCTCATAAAAAAGACAAGTTGTTCAAAAATGAGTTCAGTTTGAATGAAGTCTATTATTAACCCTCAATCGGCCACTCAGTGAAATACTTTGAAATCAAAATTCTAAGCCAATAGACCTTATTACCTTTGTAACATTAAAAATATGAATATTTTGATGGCAAGAATTAATGTCAAAGTAATAACAAGAAACGCCAAATTTCCAGAATATATTAAGAAAAACTTTAAAAAAGTACTTCTATAAGAAATTCATGAAAAACACTCTGAGAGGGAAAGAAACATTTTTTTATACAGTATAACCTTAGACGCATTAATGCTGACACTGGCACTAACATTTTTTTAGTCTATTAACTTAAATATAATTGCGAACTAGGCTTATTAAATATTTAACTGTACTTTTTAACTTTTCAATTTTGCCTTTTTTTCCTGACTTGTTCAACTTAATTTACAGTAGGTAATATATAATTCAAGGGCTCATCTAAATGGTCAAATGCCAACATGTGATGTACAGACATGTAGCAGGATCTTTGCTGAATAGCTGGATATAGATCTTGTGCTTATAGAATGGTATCTTGCCCTATAAAGGATTAAACTAATTAAAGTGTTTTTTATGTAACAAAAAAAAAAAAAAAAGTCCTATTTTTGGAGCTGAAAATCTATTTTCAGTGTAAACCTGAAATACTGTTTTAAATAGGAACAAAAGTTGATGTCAGTTCAGAAAACTGGTTCTAATATTTAAGTGCAAAATGATTCAGATGTTGCTGATTGTTTTAAAGCTACAGTGTGTAATAATTACAGGCATATAAAGTCAGAAATTTAATATATTATACATAACTATGTTATTTATTATCACCTATGAGCTCAGCCTTTTAACCATAACATTTGCGTTGCCTTAGAATTCGTTATTTATAATTACATAGGAGCGGGTCTCGCAGCCATGGAGGCTGACATCTTTGCGCCACGGCAAGCGCAGAGGCAACAAACTAGCGATTGCGAGATCTCCCATGACGCTCGAAAATAACTACGGCAAGTTGAGAGAGATGAACTGAGACGGTACTGAACAGTAGATGGCAGTATTATGCCTGAGAAGCGTTTAGTCTGCCTGAAACCAAAGAAGAAGAAGAAGAAGAAGCAGGTATACTGCGCATCAGTAACAACAAAGGTGAACAAGGCGGCAGGCGTGAGTGACTTTGCAAACTGTTTGGCACTGTGTGGCCAAACATCAGACGAATGGAGGATCATGCCTACTCTGTATCACAACGAAAAGCGGCGGACACCGAACCCCCGTCATCTAAGAAGCGGAAACACGACGAGAATAAACGCAAGCGTGACAAGAAACGCCAAAAAACACGGATCAACATTGGCACGGCATTTACACGATGGAAGTCACTGATGGAGGAAAAAGGTTTTCAAAGTGACGCTCAAGTTGCCAGTTTTCTCTTGGACAGGTAATTAATCCTACACACACAATTGTCTAATATCACTGCAGTTTTTGGAGTACAGGATGCTCAGACCTGTCTAAAACAATAACATGCTGCGTGATGATGCTGTTACTCTCCAGTATACTTATTCAGCAACGTCCCTGACGTTTCATAGGTAATGATTCAGTAATTTTCTGTAAAATAATTTTCTGGATATATACCTCGGTTACTTCTCTCCGGCTCCTTTGGAGATCTTCAAGCCTTTCCTCCTCTGCTCTCACCCCGCTGGCACCCCTCTCTCGCCTGGCCCTAGCTGCACGGCCTCCCTGCCCTCGCCCTCTTCCTCGCCCTCTTCCTCGCGTTGTAACCCCCGTGCCACCAAAATGACTTGGACTCTGTAAACGGGGAATATATATTCTTCCAGCGAACACAATCTCGCTGTTAAACTAATGACTACAATTACTTCGTCTGTTTATATCACCATGCAAAGCAGCTCACCAAAACGTCACAACGACGTAGAAAAAATAACGGGTATATTTATTATCTTAAGTCTACATGAAATCTATACCCTACTCAGACTAATGAAATACTATCTGTAAAATTATCTATGTAAACAAACCTCCTCACTTGAGAAGGTAGGTGATGCGGACGTCGTGGAAGAAATTTTGTCCCGTAACGCTCGCCGTACTGTTGGGGGGGAGAAGCGGTGGGGGGGAGATGTTCATGTTGCTGCGGTCTGCAGTCTGACCGCTAGATGTCGCTGAAAATTACACACTGTAGCTTTAACAGGTTAAAGTTCTGCTAACTTTTATGTTTTTGATGGTTTTATAAGTTAGCGGCTCAACTTCTTCCTTTTAACAATAAAAATTGCTGCTAAAGAGAAGCTGGCAGACATTTCTTTTCTTTTGTTTTACTTTCTGTGAAATGCAAAACAAATATTTTTTCTATTCTTAATTTTTTAAAGTAACAACAACTGATAACCGAAAGGAATTCAGGCATCTGCTTTGTCTGTTAATGCTTCTTTAGTTCCTTTAGCTCTATTTTTTCACGTCCTACCCAGGAAACAAGAAGCAAAAGTGTTAAAGTAACTAACAATACTTAAATAGATCCAACAGATGCTTGAATTCTGTTTTTGAGTGTAGAGAGCAGAGAATTAGCCTCTTGGAGCTACTGCAAAGGTAAGAGGTTGGAAATTCAACCCTTCGCTGAAACAAAAAGAGTTAAATTAAAAGAGCAGATGATAAATTTTCCCACCAAGGGACAATAAGCTCTAAACAAAATGTATGAATCATAAGAAAGAAGGTTTGTAGGGAATTCATCACATTCTGTAAGTCACCACTCAAAAAAGTCACAATTCCATGTTACAATCAAACTGAATTCAAAACTTAAATATTTCAGTTGTAGCCTGAAACTAAAATATTTAATTAAGGTTTGTTGATTTAAAATTTTAAACATTCAAATACATATGTTTGCATCAAAAAGTGGAGTCTACCATGATCCCACAGCTTTCAGTGTATTCTCATTATCAGTTCGTATGAAATCGTACAAAAAGTTATGCACAGTAA